GGCCTGACCAGTGTCGCGTAGAGGGGGAGGATCACCTCCTTGGCCCTACTTGACATGCACCTGTGGATGCATGATAGGGTCCGGTTAGCCCTGCCGACCATGACCTCGCATTGTCGGCCCGTGTTCATCTTGGAGTCGATGATGACTCCAAGATCCCTTTCTGCCTCCGTGCTCTCAAGAAGGGAGTTTCCCATCTTATAAGTGTGCTGCTGGTTCCTACTGCCCAAGTGTAGAACCCTGCACTTGTCCGTATTGAAACACATCCTGTTTTTGTTAGCCCACCCTTGCAACCTATCCAGGTCTTTCTGCAGTCTTTCCCTCCCTACTAGCGTGCCCACCTCACCCCTCTTAATAGCCCCCTTAATAGTCATGTCCCCTCTTAATAGCCTCTTCTGCAAGTTGAACACAACTACGTTTCATTGTGTTATCTGCCTCTGGACCCTAACTTCTCTATGTCCTTTTTATAGTGTGGAGGCCCAAACTCCACATAGTACTCTAGGGGCATTTATAGACATGCTCCAGGAGCGGGAGAAAGGGGTGCACTTTAATTAGAGAGGCTCTTAGAGAGCCACTCTAATTAAAGCACCTGGAGCATCATGTGTATCAGTATCTTCCCCTTTCCCCCCAGAGCATCATGTGTATCAGCAGTGTCAAACAAGCTTTAGTTAAAGTGCCCCCGCTGCCATTTTTCAGTGCAGAAACACTGCTCCTGTGATGCTGGAGTCTGTTGGAGGGTGGTAATTACCATGCTCCTACACATTGTAATTAATTACAATGTCAGAGCAGCTTCTTTGTCCATGTATAGGTGCCCTAGATGAGCCAGTCCTTAGTAAGGAGGCATTATCAATTCCCATGTCTTACACCTAATGCTTCTATTGATGCAGCCTAAAATTGAATTGGCTTTTGTGCTGCCACATCACACTGCAGACTTGCATAGAGTTTGTGATCCACCAAGGCTTCTAGATCCTTCTCTGTAGTGCTGCCATTCAGTCAGTTGTCACCCATTTTGTATTTGTGTTTTAATTATTCTTCCCAAGGTGTAGCACTTTGCATTTGTCAATGCTAAACTTCCTCTTGTTAGCTCCTGCCCAGCCTCCCACCTGTCAACATCTTCTGAATCAAATTCCTTTTCTCCACCATGTTTACAATCCCTCCAGTCTTGTGTCACCTGCAAATTTGCTCAAGAAGTTCTCTCTCCCAGCATCCAAATAATTAATAAACATGTTGAACAGCACTTGGCCCAGGACAGGCCCCTGTGGGACTCCACTCAAAACCTCCTGCCATTCTGATAAAATTACTTTTTGCTTGTGGCTATTGAGCCAGTTGTCTATCCTGCTTGTAGTAGCTTTGCTTAGCCCAGATATCTCCAATTTGTTTATGAGTAGGTCATATGGGACTTTGTCAAGAGTCTTGCTGAAGTCCAGATACAATATATCTACTGCACTTCGTCCACCCAAGTAGTTACTTTATCAAACAAGATCAAGTTAGTGTGACACTATTTGTTCCCGGTAAATCCATGCTGGCTGCTCATGATAAGCCTTTCCTTCTCCAGATACTGACAATAGGAATTTATTATGCTCCAGTAGCTTCCTGGGTTTTGAGGTGAGGCTAAACAGTCTATAGTTCCCCTGGTCCTATTTATTGCCTTTTTTAAAGAGGGCACAATGTTGGCCCTTTTCTAGTCCCTTGGTATCTTGCCTGTCTCCTACAACTTCATAAATATTATTGCCAAGGGCTCCAAGATTTCTTCTGCCGGTTCCTTCAGTACCTTTGAGGTTAAGTTCAGGCTTGATCAGGCCCTGCTTGAATTCATCCAGTCCAATCAAAAGTTCTCTGACTGTTTCTTGTGTTATTATCACTCAGCTTGTCCTCTACCTTGTCCAGATAATCCTTATAAACTGTCTGTTTGCAGGTATTTTTTTTTGTGGAGATTAAGACAAAGTAGCTGTTGAGCAACTCTGCCTTCTTTGCATCTTCTTTTAGGAGTTCACCCTGTCTGTTTAACAGTGGACCCACAGTTCCCTTGGTTTTTATTTTCTGGCCAACATACTTATAGAACCTCTTTTTGTTGTCATTAACTTCTCTCGCCAGCTGAAGCTCATTTTTTACCTTTGCCTTCCCGATTCTGTCCTTTAAAGTTCTTGCTATTTCCTAGAATGCTGCTTTGGTGATCTGTCTATCTTTCCATTGTGTATATGCTTTCTTTTCACATGAGGCATCCTAGAAGCTCCTTGTACAGCCGTATTGTTGGGCTTCCAGTACTATGTCTTTAGTAGTTCCTGAACATTGTGGGCACCTTTATCCTTCAATCTATCTTCTCATGCCACCATACCAACTATCTCCTAGAGTCAGTTGAAATGTTGTTTTTTAAAAGTGCCTTAGTTCTGCTGACCTCATGTTTTCCCCATCTCAGGATCATAAATTCTGTGATCACTTCCTCCCAAGTTTACCATTACCTTCACGTTCTTCACCAGTTCTTCCCAGTTGTCCAGTACAAGTTGTCCATTCTTCACCAGTTCTTCCCAGTTGTCCAGTACGAGATCCA